GGCGCTTGCGTAGCTGGTGCTTCAACACCGTGAAGGTTTCAATCTGGCGCATGTCAACCATTTGAGAAGAAAATAGTCGACTGCGAGGCAGCTTAAAAGATGGAAGGGAGGTTCGACCGCCGGCGTTGACAACTCAAATGTTTTTTTTCGGCTCAGCTAACTCAGGCCTCTCTCGCAGCCTTCACCGCTCAGTTTCCAACGTGGCCATGAGGCACCGAGCGCCGCACGCACGAGGCGCAGGGCCAGAATAAATGGCGCTGCGGCGCATCGTGGGCGAAGTGGCTCCTCCTCCCTTAGCAAACCCAGACCGCAACTACCCGCGCGGCTTCCATGGCCGGGGTCTGCCGATGGAGGCGATCGCTCTGATCTCGGCATACCTTCCGGGCTTGGTTGTGCGGCGGCAGATGGGCGAGGATGACATCATCACGCCCAGGATCCCGCCGCTCTGTTTCTGCTTGGCAGAGCGGATGGTTGTCCGCCTCATTGCAGGTTTAAAGGGGGAGCGGCTGATTAGGCGGCGGCTTGCGGAGAAGGCAGCGCCGGGCGCCTTGGTGGTGCCGGCGTCGCTTCTCAAGCGACCGCGACCGGCAGGCCCGGCTTGCGGCGGTTGGCGGAGCTGGTTGACCCCGCCCACGCACTGGGACGTGGACTACGCTGTGCTCCCGCTGCTTCCGCGCAGTCTGGCCCTCTTCGCTGACTTTTGGCAGCTGGGCGGAAGCTGCGTGCGGGGAGACGGCAGCGGGTTCCCGGAAGGGCTCGAGATAGCGACCTTTCCATACACGCTGCGGGCTGTGTCCGGGGACGAGGACCCGGCCGGCCTGTGCGAGGTGCTGCACCGCCTGATGGCGGAGAGGGCAAGCGTCCACCCCATCGTAGCCCCACCAAAACAGAGTCAGAAGCAGTGGCACCTGGCGGCCCACGGCCGCCAGTGCCACGTTCTTTCCTTGGTGCCACTCTTGGAGGCCGCCGAAGAAGAGCACGGATTCACACTCTACCTTTGCATATACGGCTGTAAATTCCCGGCAGCTTCTTTTGTCCGAGACAGGATCCTTGTTTAAAACTAGCACTTTCTTTTTGTTCGAAGCCCACTTTAAGTCGCCCCTCAACTTTGGAACTGAGCTCATTTCTTTTGATTTCAACCGGCCATGCTCAGGATCTCAAAGGCCATCCAGGACGTGCAGGCCAGCTCCTTGCCTCAAGGCCTCAAGGCCTTGTACTTGGAGCGTGCTGTCCTGGATGTGAGCTGGCAACACTGCGTGCGTTGCGGCTTATTCAGCAACGTTTTATTGTTTCTTTTTGTCGGGAAATCTTTAATCGTTTTTGTTGGCCACGAGCATCTGCGACGGGTCTGAGGAACGGGAAACCCATCGCGGCGCACCCGGTCGGCACGCTTGGCAGCGACGAGCCGCTTACCTGGACCTGTCGAGGCCAAGCAAGTTGCTACAGCTTATTTGGGCGGCTGGGCCAGGGGTTGGGCGGCTTCACGGTGAACGCCAACCGCGGAGAGGCGGCGGGCGTGGGCGAAGGGGCCACGCTCCTCCAAGCAAAGGCACACTGTGGGGGTTGGGTGCACTTCCTCAAGGCGATGGGAGCACCGGCTTTGACGGTGAGCAAGAGCCACTCAGCCAATTTTCCACAAACTAGGCCTCATTTCTTTGCACCCTCTTTGCGCACTAGAAAACGACTTTCGCGTTTGGGTTTGACTGACAAGCGGGCAAATAAAAACGCAAAGAAACAAGATAAGAAGAGGAAGACGATAGTAAGACAAATTAGGGCAAGAGAAGGAAAAACAGAATTCAAAGCTTAGGTTTCCAAATCAAATGGTTAGATGTCATACTTCCCCACGTTCTGAGGCCAACAATGGCTCAACCGCCAACAAGGGAAGCTGGAGTCCCTCATCAGCGCCGCATGGGCGGCTTCCGGCTCGAGTTTCGAGTCAAGCCCGCGGATGTCACTTGGGACAACCTGCTCGAGCTTCTGCCGCTCGGATGGTTTTAAGATGGCCCGCGCCCTCTGCGCAGATCGTAAGCCAAAAAAGTTAGACAGAAAACGGTTTCCCTTTTTCGCTTTGCACTCGCGTAGCCCGCGCTTTAAAGTACTGTTCCATCTGGAAGTCTTGTTGTTCAGAAGGGGTTAGAAGTAAGAGGGCGAGGGCCGAAGGAGATCCAGCAAAAACCTAAAACAAATGTGAAGCCTTGAGTGCTACTTGGCTGGAATTGTTGGTGCAGGGAAAGAGGTGGGGCGCTCTGTTCACCCAAGGCAGGACAACGCGTGGGCCGTTTTTGAGCACACTTGGGCGCTTGAGCTTGAGCCGAACGCGTTGCTGGCCGCAGCGGAGGAGGGCTTGAACGCCGCGGCGGGCGCCGGCACGTTTACGTGCGTCGGCGGCCAGCTGCACGCCGCGGTCCCCTTTTGGAAACGCATCGCCTACCAGCGGGTGCTCCATCGCCTGGGGCTTTCCCACCGCTTCTCGCACCGGTTCTGTTGCTCGGTCAAACTCCGCAAACACTTTTCCTTTTTGTTCCCCTTCAAATGGGAAGCGTTTTAAATGGGGAAGCGGTCGGCCAAGGCTACAATGCAGACCGGGACGGCCATCCTTGGGGGCCGAGCGCCGAGGCGGCAAGGCCTTGCACGCTCCAAGCCAACGCGCCCTTGCCAGCGGGCACACCGCTGGTCCGGGCTGTCGGCAGTGCCCAGGAAGTGCGCTCACACACAGGTGTGATTGAAATTTCAGGATGCTCACACACAGGTGTGTTTTAAATTTCAGGATGCTCAAACACAGGTGTGTGCGAAAATTCAGGATGCTCACACACAGGTGTGTTTTCAAATTTCAGGATGCTCACACACAGGCGTGATTCAAATTTCAGGATGCTCACACACAGGTGTGCTTTAACTTTCAGGATGCTGACACACAGGTGTGTTTTAACTTTCAGGATGCTCACACACAGGGGTGTTTTAAACTTCAGGATGCTCACACACAGGTGTGTTTGAAATTTCAGGATGCTCACACACAGGTGTGTTTTCAAATTTCAGGATTCTCACACACAGGTCTGACTCAAATTTCAGGATGCTCACACACAGGTGTGATTGAAATTTCAGGATGCCCACACACAGGTGTGTTTTAAATTTCAGGATGCTCAAACACAGGTGTGTGTTAAATTTCAGGCTGCTCACGCACAGGTGTGTTTGAAATTTCAGGATGCTCACACACGGTGTGTTTTCAAATTTCAGGATGCTCACACACAGGTGCGTTTAAAACTTCAGGGTGCTCACACACACACAAGTGTGGTTGAAATTTCAGGATGCTCACACACCTGTGTGTGGGAAATTTTGAGATGCTCACACACAGGTGTGCTTTAAACTTGAAAATTTCAGGATGCCCGATGTGGACTGGCAGCTGCAGACTGCCAACTGCCAGTCTGAAGCTGGCAGCTGCCAGTCTGCAGCTGCAAGCTGCCAGTCTGCAGCTGCCAGTCTGCAGCTGCCAGCTGGCAGTCTGAAGCTGGCAGCTGCCAGTCTGCAGCTGCCAGTCTGCAGCTGCCAGCTGCCAGTCTGCAGCTGCCAGCTGCCAGTCTGAAGCTGCCAGCTGCCAGTCAGGGTGATCCCCTGCTGGTCCCAGTTTGGTGGGAAGTGCCCAGGGTGATCCCCTGCTGGTCCCAGTTTGAGGGTGACCCCCCTGCTGGTCCAAGTTTGGTGGGGGAAGTGGCAAGGGTGATCTTTTGCTGGTCCCAGTTTAGTGGAAGTGTCCAGGGTGATCCCCTCCTGGTCCCAGTTTGGTGGGGGAAGTGCCCAGGGTGATCCCCTGCTGGTCCCAGTTTGGTGGGGGAAGTGCCAAGGGTGATTCTGTGCTGTCCCAGTTTGTCCCTGCTGGTCCCAGTTTCGTGGGGGAAGTGCCCAGGCAGGGTGATCCCCTGGTCCCAGTTTGGTGGGGGAAGTGCGCAGGGTGATCCCCTGCTGGTCCCAGTTTGGTGGGGGAAGTGCCCAGGTGATCCCCTGCTGGTCCCAGTTTGGTGGGGGAAGTGCCGCCTGCTGGTCCCAGGTGGGGGAAGTGTTCAGGTGATGCCCTGCTGTGGGGGAAGTGCCCAGGGTGATGCCCTGCTGGTCCCAGTTTGGTGGGGGAAGTGCCCAGCTCAGTTTGGTGGGGGAAGTGCCCAGCATGATCCCCTGCTGGTCCCAGTTTGGTGGGGGAAGTGCCCAGCATGATCCCGCTGCTGGTCCCAGTTTGGAGTGCCCAGGGGGAAGTGTCCAGGTGATCGCCTGCTGGTCCCAGTTTGGTGGGAAGTAGGGTGATCGCCTGCTGGTCCCAGTTTGGGGGAAGTGCCCAGGCTGATGGTCCCAGTTTGGTGGGGGAAGTGCCCAGGGTGATCCCCTGCTGGTCCAGTTTGGTGGGGGAAGTGTTAGAGTATCCCCTGCTGGTCCCAGTTTGGCGGGGGAAGTGCCCAGCTGGTCCCAGTTTCCAGGGTGATCCCCTGCTGGTCCCAGTTTGGTGGGGGAAGTGCATAGGGTGATCCCCTGCTGGTCCCAGTTTGGTGGGGGAAGTGTTCAGGGTGATCCCCTGCTGGTCCCAGTTTGGTGGGGGAAGTGAGTTTGGTGGGGGAAGTGCCCAGAATGATTTTTTGCTGGTCCCAGTTTGAGGGTGATCCCCTGCTGGTCCCAGTTTGGTGGGGGAAGTGCCCAGGCCTTTAAAAACTAGTTAGACTCCAAAAAAGTGTCGTTTTTCTCAAATTGCACAGCTGTTGCAACACAATTTTCAGCTCGCAAGCCGGAACAGCACCACCTTAAACCCCAAACAGTAGCGAGCATAGAGCAGTAGAGGGCAGCAGAGACATGAGTTGACTTGCTGGATTTTGCTTTGTCACGGTTGCTGGCAGCCTTTTTGATCAACAGTTGGAAAGACATAATCTTGTGAGTCACGCATCATGGCAAAGATGGTGTTTGCGTTGTTGATGCTCTTGTGGGTGCAGTTGTCCACCGCTGGACCGGGCGAAAAGCTCGAAGAGGTTGAAGAGGAGTATGAGCCGCAAACGCCACCGTCAGCAGGTGCCCCAGAATTGGACATTGCGGAATTTATGGAGGAGGATGAGTACCAAATTGAGGAAGATCCAGACGACACCGACTTACAAGCGTTTTTTGATGAACTTGCAAACTGGTAAGAACCCAAGGAAGAAGTTGTCCAGGACCTTGAGGAGGAGCCTGTGCCAGTTGTGAAGGAAGAGGCGCTCGTTGAAGATGGAGCTGAAGAGGTCGATGCGACCCTTCTCCACTGTGCCACCTTGGGCATCGCCCTGGAGAACTTGCCTGCAAGCCCATCTGACTGGCACAGGTTGATCCGGTTGGCCTTCAAGCGTGCTGCTCGTGTCAGCCACCCTGACAAGAACCCTCAGGTTCACAGGGGCGCTGTGCAGGCATGCAAAGAGGCCGAAGCCTATTTGCTCGCTTGGGCCGAGGTGTGGGAAACAGCAACACTGCTGTTTCCCCACCTGATTTTTTTGTGTCTTTGTAGCCGATGCACCCGCATGTTTGAGGCGATGAGTTGTTGCTCTTGGTGTCTAGATGATGACCGGAATCGTGGTCATGGGAAGGAGTGCAAAGCTGTCAATGCCTTCACAAAACCACCGGGTACTTCACCAGACACCACACTTCAGATTTGAATTTGTATTTGAAGTTGGTTGCTCACGGTCTCGGCGAGAAGGCTGCAGAAGCCCAGGTGAAGGCGCGCGCCAGCATGCAAAAAGTGGCGAAGCGTCAAGGGCAACTGTACAAGGTGGAGCAGGCCGAGGAGGAGAGGAAGTTGGCAAAGAAGTTCCAGCAAGACTTGGTCTTGGCCAAACGTCCACTGCTAGCGTGGCTGACCTTCAGCGCGCAAGAGCAGCAGCCAGACCTGCAGTGGCAACCCCCCCACCAATGGCAACCCCCCCACCACCAACACCACCGCCAATTCCAGCAGAAGCAGCACCAGCTCCAGAAGCCGCAGCCGCAGCTGACCCAGAGTTATTCGTTGAAGGCTGGGAGCCGCCCCCTTTGCCCGAGAACTTCCCTGGCAGCCAGTGGACTTGCCGCCCTTTCTGCACGCTGGGAGTTGTTTGGCCCTCACCAAAGAGCTTGGTTCCGGTGCACGAGGTTCCCTCAGTGCAAGTTCAAGCGTATCCTCGTTCGTGAAGGGCTGATGCAGACCATTTTTTGAGAGCTGGCAAGAAGCCTTGGGAGCAGACACATGTTTGATTCTTGTATCAAAAGCATTTGTTTGTCAAGGCGAACCTAAGTTTGTAGAACACCGTGGGTAACCCCAACCCCCAGGTAAGACTTATCCATAGACACTGCCTGGGGTTTGGGTCGAAACACGCAGCCCCAAGCCGTCAGCCCTGTTTCGATTCAAAAACTGGACAAGAGCGCGGCGAAAAAGACATATCAATATTCATAAAGCAATGAGTGATTCTTTTTGATGATGAATATTTATGACTGACACAAAATGATTGTTGTTGTCTTTTTGCAAGAATAGTGACTGATTTATAGTTTTGAAATATATATTCATTCATAAATGAACAGGGTTTGGCGGTTGGCAGACACAGGGGGTTTAGGGTTTAGGGTTTAGGGTTCAGGGTTCAGGGTTCAGGGTTCAGGGTTCAGGGTTTAGGGTTTAGGGGTTAGGGTTTAGGGTTTAGGGTTTCCAAGATGAAGCGTGCCCACGACCCTGGGGGTCGTGGGGGCGCGCGGCGAAAGCGGCATCCCCACCCCTTGACCACCCACATCTAAAACCTTTTAGGGTTTAGGGTTCGCAGAAACCCGGCCCGGGCGCATCGCGTGCCATTTTTCGCGACGCGAAGAATCATCGAAGGTTTGGGCTTGGGTCTGGCCCGTCGGGCTGCCCGAAAGCTCGTTCCCGTCGTTTTGACGCTGGGGTCGGGCCCGTCGGGCTTCCCGAGAAAACTTTCTGGGCGACGGCCGAAGCTTCCGCGACAGCCTCGGAGGGGCGCGTCGCTCGCGCTCGCTTCCTGCATGGGAGCTGGCCCGTTGGGCTTCCCGAAAAAATTTTCCGGGCGACGGCCGAAGCTTCCGCGACAGCCGTGGCAAACCCGCGCCGTCGCTCGCGCACGCTCCGTTATTTTGGCGCTGGGGGCTGGCCCGTCGGGCTTCCCGAAACAATTTTCTGGAAATCCGCGCCGTCGCTGGCGCGCGCTCCGTTATTCTGGCGCTGGGGCCTGGCCGGCCGAAGCTTCCGCGACAGCGATGGCAAACCCGCGCCGTCGCTCGCGCACGCTCCGTTATTTTGGCGCTGGGGGCTGGCCCGTCGGGCTTCCCGAAACAATTTTCCGGAAATCCGCGCCTTCGCTCGCGCGCGCTCCGTTATTCTGGCGCTGGGGGCTGGCCCGTCGGGCTTCCCAAAACAATTTTCCGGGCGACGGCCAAAGCGTCTGCGACAGCCCCCCTCGCGCTCGCTTCCGTCGTTTTGGCGGATCTTGAACGGCCGTTGCTGGCCGTTTTATCAACCAGAAGCGGACACATGGCCAGATCTTTCGATTCGGGCTGCGGAGTGCCGATCTCGCATTGTCCCGTGTAAGGAGTTTATCAGCGGCCAGGCCAAGCAATTTTTTTATCAAGGGCTAGCAAAGCAAATGGCCGCTCTATCAAGGCTGGCAATTCGCAGTTGCCGTTTTATCAAAGCCGATGGCTGTTTTATCAAGGCCGGCCAGCCCGTTTTATCAAGGCCGGCCAGCCTCAAGGGCCGTTTTATCAACAGTGGCAAGATGAGAGCCAGCCGCAATACCCGTTTTATCAAAGCCGATTGCCGTTTTATCACGATTGGCCAGCCTCAATGGCCGTTTTATCAACAATGGCCGCTTTATCAAGGCATTTTCAGCCGCGGTGGCCGTTTGAGCAAATCGCGGCTGGCCAGCCTTCAATGGCCGTTTTATCAACAATGGCCGCTTTATCAAGGCCGAGGCCACGCCAGTGGCCGCAATGGCCGTTTTATCAACCAGCGGCCAAATGGCCAGATCTCCCAGATTTGGGCTGCGCATTGCCGATTTCATATTGTCCCGTATAGAGCAATTTCTATCAGGAACTGGCAAAGCGAATAGCCGCTTTATCAAGGCCGGCCATTTTAACAAAGCCGATGGCCGTTTTATAACAGCTGGCCAGCCTCAATGGCCGTTTTATCAACCAGAAGCGGCTAAATGGCCAGATCTGCAGATTTGGGCTGCGGATGGCTGATTTCATATTGTCCCGCACAAGCAGTTTATCAACGGCCAGGTCGAGCAATTTTGACAAAGAGCTGGCGAAGCGAGTGGCCGCTTTATCAGACCGGCCAGCCGCTTTAAGCCTGCCTCTTCTAAAGCTTCTTATACAGCTCCTTATAAAGCTTCTTTTCAAGCTTCTCATAAAGCTTCTTCTAAAGCTTCGTACAAGGAGCCTTGATAAAGTTCATAAGGAGGACGCTGCGCTTCGTTGAAGGTTTGGGGTTACTCCTTCTAAGGCCAGCTGGCGCTGGCAGCGGGAGCGGCAGCTCCAAACCGCGCTCGTTGCAGAGGAACGCAACTTGGGGCGCTTCCGCTCGCCATGCCGGACTCGCTCTGCGCCAGCACCAATGCAGCTGCTGCGGCCGAGCGCTTGCAGCACGGCGCTCGGCCTTGAGTTTAGGGTTTAGGGTTTGCAAGGTGGGGCGCGCGCCTCGACGCAGAGCGTCGCGGGCGGCGCGCGCCGCGCGTTAAGCGGTTGACCCACCCCTGGCCACCCATTCCTCAACCTTACCGGGTTTAGGGTCGATCGACCCCCTTTAGTTTCCCCCTTTCTTAGGGGGAACACACACAACAAACACCGCTCGCGATAGCCGACGAGACAAGGCGCGCGCCAAAGTGGCGCTGAATAAACGGTTCTTGTTCGGCGCTACGGCCCGGGCGTGGACCTTAGAAAAGATGATGATTTTTTGAAACCTCCCGCGCGCGGTAGAACACGCTTGCGGGCCGGGCCATTTTCTGTTGAGTTTCCAAGCGGTTGGCGCCACCCATGGGTTTGTGCCGCAGTATCCGGATGCGGAACAAGCTCTCCGCCGCCTATGAATTCACGCGTTCCGTGAGATTCAGGCATGGCCAAATCCTCGCATTGCCAGTACTCATACGCTTGTCTTAAACGGTTGGCGCCGCCCGTGGGTTTGCGCCGCAGTCTCCGGATGCGGCACAAGCTCTCCGCCGCCTATGAATTCACGCGTTCCGTGAGATTCAGGCATGGCCAAATCCTCGCATTGCCAGTACTCATACGCTTGTCTTAAACGGTTGGCGCCGCCCGTGGGTTTGCGCCGCAGTCTCCGGATGCGGCACGAGCTCTCCGCCGCCTATGAATTCACGCGTTCCGTGCGATTCAGCCATGACAAAATCCCCGCATTGCCAGCACTCACACGCTTGTCTCAAAGGATTGGCGCCACCCATGGGTTTGTGCCGCAGTCTCCGGATGCGGCACAAGCTCTCCGCCGCCTATGAATTCACGCGTTCCGTGTGATTCAGCCATGGCCAAATCCCCGCATTGCCGGTACTCATACGCTTGTCTCAAACGGTTGGCGCCACCCATGGGTTTGTGCCGCAGTCTCCGGATGCGGCGCTAGCTCTCCGCCGTCTCAAACGGTTGGCGCCACCCATGGGTTTGTGCCGCAGTCTCCGGATGCGGCGCGAGCTCTCCGCCGCCTATGAATTCACGTTGGGTTTGGAGCACGGATTGCAATTTTTACCATTTCCCGTATACAGAATTTGTCAACGGCCGGGCCATGTCAAAAACTAAGTAATTCAAGCGTGGCCAAATCTCTGGATTTGGAACAGAGGTTGTAATTTTTACAATTTCCAGTATAAAGAACTTATCAACGGCCGGGCGCAAACTCCATATGGCCGTTTTTATCAAAGATAATCGCTTAAAGTTTTCTTGGCCCCCAGGACAGAAGTGAGCTTCCCGGGGCAGAAACATATAAAGAATTTATCAACAGCCGGGCCATGCGCAAATTTGAGATTTCGAGAAGAAAGAAAAAAACCTGGTTGATCCTGCCAATAGTCATATGCTTGTCTCAAAGACTCAATAATTCAGGCATTGCCTCTCTGCGTTTGGAGCACGGAGAGCAATTTTTACGATTTCCCGTAAAGAATTTATCAACGGCCGGGCCATGCGCAAATTTGAGATTTCGAGAAGACAGAAAAGGAGACCTGGTTGATCCTGCCAGCAGTCATATGCTTGTCTCAGCTCAGGCATGGCCATATCTTTGGCCATATCTCTTGATTTTAGAGCACGGATGACAATTTTTACATGCCAATTTGAGAATTTGAGAAGAAACAAACGGAGCCTGGTTGATCCTGCCAGTAGTCAAATGCTTGTCTCAATTCAGGCGTGGCCGTATCTCTGGCCACATCTGTGGAGTTTGGAGCGCGGATGACAATGTTTACAATTTCCTGTATAGAAGCTTTGTTGATCC